CTTGGCCCGGGGCCCCGGCTGGGCGGCTCGGGAACGGAGGCGCTGGGGAGCCGGGGGCTCTCCCCGGCGGAGTGTGTGGCCTTATATAACGCTGTGCAGTGTCGCTTGCCCGGGCCCGGTGCGGCCAGACCGGCTGTTTACTCTGTCATCTTGCTTAAAACCCAGCCCAGGGGTCGGATGGCCCCGAAACGCTGCGTAATTGGGGCTTTGGCTCCTCGGGTTTACACTAAATAGTTGCTCGCAGACTTGTAGTGTGATGTTTTCCTTGCTCGCTACTGGAGCTGTTCTCCCTACCCACCCAGCGGAGAGCTGATTATTCCTTTTCCTGCCTGGCTAGTAAACACTGATGTCATTCCCCTCTTGTGTAATCATTTTTGTCTTCTGTCTGTGTACATTGGTCTTCAAATTATGTCTGTGGGGAGGGGGAGAGGTGGTACTGAGAGTCTTTCACAAAAAGTCATAGCAAATACAAAGGGAAAACTGAAATGCTTGTGCTGTAGGAATTGTTCTTGGTGGCAGTGCAGGGTTGTGTATGCTGGTTCTCTGGAAAGTGTGTTTTAAATGGCTGGCTCCGTGTAGAAACAGATCCCTGCTGGTTTCAAATAGTGAGGTTTTTAGATCAGGATATGTGATAGGCCAGATCCCCTCAGTACTTACATTTCTGTTCTTTCTTAGGTCACGGTAAAAATCACAAAGATGCTGCCTCGGTCAGGGCCACTCACCCCATCCCTGCAGCCTGTGGCATTTATTACTTTGAAGTGAAGATCGTCAGTAAAGGTAGAGATGGGTAAGTGCCTCATTGCAGCTCAGTGGCTGGGGATGTGTCTGGCAGCTCTGCTGGACTCTGGCCTCCTTTCCAGAAGTGTTGGAGGTCCCGTGGCTGCTGGGTGTAGCAGGCAGGTACAGCATGGGCAGGTTTTGTCCTCCTGATGAATGGATGTAAATGAGGTGGAATGCTCTAGAAGCAGAGGCACTGGCACAGCTGTGTCCTGAGCCCTTGGAGATGGGCACTTCTAAAAAATTCAGTAAACTGAGCATCTCTGGTGCAATATGAATTAAAACAGGTTTTCTTCTTGCTGGCAAGGTCTGGTGACTCTGATTTCTGGAATTATGATGCCTCAGAAGTGAAGTGAAGGGAGGAAGGTTGAGCTTAATTTTGGACTGCTGCAGTGAGATTGATGTGGTGAAGAATACTGGAGCACTGGGGAGAGTAATAAAGGGGCCTTTCTGACAAGGTCTGGAGTTTTCTTGTTAACATGGATTTAATTTTTGCTCATTGTGAAGGTGTCAGTCTGTTCTGTGTGGATGGCCCTGGCATTGTTCCTTGTTAAAGGATGAATACGGCAGGAATATTATCTGGAGGGGAAAGCCACACAGGAGGAGGGTTTGGGTGCAATTAATTAATTCAGTTCTTCAAGTGTGATATTTGATCTCTGACCAGTTTAAGGGTTGTGGGGAAGGGCAGCAGATGTTCCTACTAAAAACCAAATGAAAGTGAAAACTTGTTATAGTTTAATTTTTTTGCTGTCATTGTTGAACTGAGAAGTGGCCTACTTGTAAAGGGACTTGTGAAGGATCTCAGGTTGTGCTGCATTTAGGCCCTTGATAATTACTAGGTTATCTGCAAAGGTGGATGCTGGGCTGAATTCCTTATAAATGCGGGGAAAAGACCATCCTTATTCCTTCATTTCACTGACCTGGCTGTTATCTGCTTGTCTGTTTTGAAACACTGCCCTTGATTAGTTTATGTAACTGCTAAAACTGAAATAATTTGCAGTGAGCTTCAAGACAATTTTCCAAAGAAATCACATTACAAAAGGTCACTGAACAGCACTTAATCCTTACTGCAGTCTAGATCAATCTTAAAGGGAGATAATGGAATTTTCTGCTTGTCTCCCAAGATCAGAGTTTTCCATATTAATGATCTGTTGTTTTTATTGTATTCTGTAATTACAGCGACTTTCCAAGAATAATTCCAAAGAGACAGAACCATGTGTGTTAACACAACAACCTGAACAGGAGCTGCTGATAGCTCTGATCTGAGGTCAGGGCAGTGCCGAGGCTTTGAGAGCCTCTCTGATGTCTCAGCCATTCCTGTGCCTTGTTTTTCTTTTGCTGGTAGAGACAGATCCAAGTTTTATCTCGCACAGGGTGGTGCTGGGGATTTGTGGTTGTGAATTTCCACTGTAGCTGCTGCCTGGCTGTCACTTGAGAAGGTGCTTTTGTGTATCTCACCTTTAATAGTTTGAATTGTTCCTGCTGGAGGCTCAGTGTGTTGTACTAGTGAACTGTGGCAGAGATCTCTTCTGAGGACGCTCCACAGTGTTTATTCCATCATGGTGACTTCATTTGAAAGGATTGAAGGTCCAGACATCTGAGGAAGGGATTGAGGGAATGAAGTTTTCAAGCAGTGTAAGTGGCAAAGCCTGTCCTTAGGAATAACACTGGAAGGAAGCCCTTTAGCAAGGGGGAGAGGAAGAGGTTTTCAGAATGGGTATTTCAGCCTTTGCCCTAGAGCTGGTTTGTCTTCTGTATGAGGTAGTGAGGAAATGATGTGAAATTATTCCCTGTGTATCTCTTTCTGGAGTTTGTGATGGCATTTCACATTTAGGTTTAAAATGTGAGTGATTTGGTTTTGAAACAAGACTTGCTCAAGAAAGGCTTTTGTGAAGTGAATTTCTGGAAGTGTTGAGGAGTCTGATTTTGCTCAAAACTGTTATTTTTCTGTGCTCAGCATTGTTAGTTTAGGGTTCTGCACTCTGGGTAGATACTGACACTTGCTAATAAACAACAGAATCTAAGGTTTCAGATAAGAAGTGGGATAGAAGCTCCCTGTGACTCTTAATGGAGAAGATTCCCAAAGTTCACAAGATGCTTTTTGCAGCCTGCCAAGGGATGTTGCCTGTGTGTGACATGCTCTGATAAGAGGCTTCTTGAATTGGCATCAGGCAGTGCCATTTTAGATTGGTAATGTCACTGTGGGAAAGAAACCTGAGCTGTGGAGATGACTCAGGTGTCAGGACCACCGTTTTAACTTCTCCCCTGTTTTTCATTGGATTAAGGGGATTTAAAACCAGTATGCTCTGATTCTCTCCTGTTTTCTCCCACCAGATCACATCCTAGCAGTCAAAACACACATCCCTGCCTCCCCCTGTTTTCCAGGCTGAGAACTCCTGTGCTCACCCCAGAGCTAGCACAGGAGAAGAGGGGGGGACTGCAGCAGCACAGGCACAAGTTGCTTTGCCCTGCCACAGTTGGTAGAAAAATTTCCTCTTTTGCACTGCCTTGTCTCCCCTATGCCTTAATGCACCTGCCCCAGAAAGGTGTTTTTGTTAAAGAAGCAAACAAAATGATTTATGAAAACTCTGCCTTTGTCATCACTGGACTTTTCTGCCTCAGCATTGGTAAAATCATTTGCTGGTGGTTATTTCAAAGCAAGTACAGTATCCAAAAAGTCCATTTGGTGTATGTAAGAAACTTCTGAGATAGATCAGCTTTTCTTAGCTTTGGATCTTTCACTGCTCGTGAGATAAAACCACAGTCCTTTGAGAGGGACAAGTGTGATTCAAACTTACTTTTAGTTGAATGGTGGCTATTTTTTATCCTGGTGGATTTAGTCTTGATAAATAAGAGGTCATGTTGATTTACTGAGTTTGTTTTTTGTGCAGTTTTGTTTAGTTTTTTTTTTTCTGGGAGAGGGGAGGCTGCCAGGATATCATTGAAAAATTGTCTTGACAAGATTTCTAGATAACATGGAACAAATCAGATGTGTCAGTCTGTTGATCTGTTGCTACTTCTTGAGGGGGGGGAGATGTTCTTACCCTCAGACCAGAGGAGAATTTAATTTGCAGTCTCTTGTCCCAGCCCTCTTGTCACCTCCTTGTCTGTGCTGAGCACACAGGGAGTGGTTCCACAGCACTTTAGGATGATATATGTCAGCGCTGTGGGATTCTGCCCTTGCATTTGCTGTATGCTTCTACTCCTTCCCTCATGCAGACAGATTGTTACCCTGTTCTATGGTGAGCTGGTTCAGGGAGATAACTGGTGGAAAGCTGGCCAAAAAGTAATGGACGATGATTTCATCTACTGACGTCACTTTCAGAAATTGCTCCTTTTTTTTTTTTTCTCATTAAGTTGAGGACACTTTTCAGGGTTCCCTTTATTAATTGAAGGCAAGTCAATAAAGGGATGGCCCAAGCTGAGAGATGAAAGGGTAGGATTGCAGCAACCCTCAATTCCATTCAAAGTGTTGAACAGTTTTGTTTTAAGACTTGCTGATTCCTGAGACATTGTGTGCTTGTCACCTGAGTGTTGTCAACTGGAACAAAAGGACAAGAGGCAATGGGTCACAAGTTGTGGCAAAGGAAATGCCAGCTGGACAAAAGAAAGAATTTTCCTTTGTGAAAATGGTTGTGCACCCAAACAGGATGCCTGGAAAGGCACTGGCATCTCCCTCATCAAATTTGCCTGAGGGAGCCCTCAGTCTGCTAACTGATAGAAATTTCAGAGTTACTTATGCTTTGGGCAGAAGGATGAAGAAGGAATGTCCCAAGGTCCCTTCCTGTCCAAACCTCTCCATGAATCTGTGAATGGCCTGCTTCCAGCACTCCTCAGATGAGCAGATTGGCAGAAATGCCTGTGACTCCTCTGTTCCTGAGCTGCCACAAATAACTCGGGCTTTTATCCCAGCACTGTTCGTAACAGTTCAACCTTCGCTGTATTTGCAGCACTGAACTCTTGTCCTCCCTCCCTCCAATACATGGTTCTGTTTGGTGGTGATTTGTCAGCACATCTCACAGCCTCTCTTTCCCCACTACACGATCTCTGCTTGGTAAACAGGAACAGGGAGAGACTCATCAGGGTAGGGCAGCCAACCCACAACTCAGAGGCTGTTGTGACTCAGAAGGATAAGTCATCCTTGTTGTCCTCTTTATGCTGGGGCAAGGTGAGCTGTCTGGGGGTGACACTGTGTGTTCCTGACCACCAGTTTGGTTTCTTGACTGGTTTTACCTCCCCCAGCCACGTGCTGGGTTGTGATGGAGTGTGACTGGGGAGGACATTTCAGAGGCCAATCCTGTTGATGCATGGGTTCTGAATTCTGGCAAAAGTCACCTGTCTTGCCGCCTCCTCTCCATTTCTGAGCTGCTGGAACAGACAGCCCAGCAGCCTGTGGATTGCTGTCTTTCTGGGAATGGTTTGGTCTTGGACAGCTGCTTACTCAAGGATACTTTGCTGTGCTGGCATCCTGACCTCTCTGGTGGGGACAGAGGCGGTGTCTTCCCATAGTGACTCTGTACAAACACAGCAGGTGTGTTCTGTGGGCAGAGGAGGTGCCAGGGGGCCCAGCCCTCTATACCAGGGCAGCCCAGTGGTTTCATGAGGACTTTGAGCCATCCCAGAAAGCATCTCAGTCTGGCTTTTCTTTTTTCCAAGATGTGTTTTTGTGTACCACCACTAGTGACTGTGTTGTGAGCTCGATTGTGCTCACAGCCTTTTTGCTGGATCAGTACTTGAAACAGCGAGTTCTGCATTAGGTGGAGACCCAGAAAGGCAGGAGAGGGAAGCTGGAAAGACATAAACCACAGGGAATGCTGGTATCCTTCTTCCAGCACCACTCCACAGTTGCTTTGAGCTGTGCAGCCTGTTGTCCAGAGATGTTGGTCAGCACTAGCTTAGGTTGAGGAGAGTTTTCTGAGAAAGGGAGGAAAGAGTTCTTTGAAGAGAGTGGCTGAAGAGCTAATCAAGCTTAGTCCATACCATAGTTTATTTAAAATCTTCCTTTCATACACAAGTGCACCATAAGCCAGACTTAAAAATAGCTTAGTTTCTCTCTGACTGAAAAAGAAAAATAAAGGTCAGATGTGTTGGTTGGTTGCAGTCTGTACATAAGTAACAAATCATCTGCCCCTTTTCCTTGCTTATGTTTCTCCTTGCCAACTTTCCATTTCTCCTCAGCATATGGTGAGTGTGATGGCTCTGTGAAAAGCCTTTTGCTCGTGTTCTCTAATGGGTTCCAGATGCTGACAGAGGCCTGTCCATGCAGAGCTCTGACAGCATTGGCTGCTTATGCTCAGACACTTTGGAGTGCCCTGCCTGTCTGGATAAAGGATATTCTTTAAGAACTGGGGATTTTTTGTGTGATCTCTGTTTTGTCACTGGTAAGCCTGTAAATAATTGTTTTCCTCCCCGCTTCTTATATTTTTCCATCCTGGTTTCCAGGAATCCAAAATCAGCACAGAGGGGGTTGTTGAGATTGCAGGTAGGTCTGCTTGTTTGAATTTATGCTGTTTTGCAGACACTCACTTTAACTACCCAACACATAAATAAAGCCCCCAAGTAGATTTCATAAACAGTTTCTGCCTTGTTCCCAGTTCACAGATTGCCCAAGCAAGTCCTTCTTGCTCGGCTACTAACTGTGCCTTGGTGCTCTCAGGTGTAGAGACTCATTTTCTGCAGAGGTTTCATGTCAGTTGATGACACCTCATACAAGTTGTTATTTCTTTGTTATTTCTTTGTCATTGTTCTGTTACACTCTTCCAAAAGGCAGTAATATTGAGAGAAGCTTTTCAGTGTAAAGGAGTCATGAGTTTGGAATATCTGTTTTGCAGTTGATGGCTTTTTTTAATTCCTTTATTTTTTTTATCAGTGAAGTGGAAATTGAAACTGAGTGTTTTATAGCAGTATCATGGGCCATCCATTGTAATAGTTGAGTATCAATTTATCATTAAAATAATCTGTGAAATAAAGCAATGAAATGGAAGCAGTGATGGTGATATGTGACTTTTCCACTTGTGATGTGTGGATTTAGGTATGTCTGAGGTCTGAGATTTCCTAGATTTCAGACTGTGATAATTATTTTTGTTGCTGTTGGGGTTTTCAGTTCAGCTTCTTAGGAAATTTTGCACAGTAAAGAAGAAAAATTTCAGGAAAGGGTTATTTTTGTTTGGTTATTTTTTTCATCCCCTCTCCCTCTGCTATTTCTGAGTATCTGTTATAGAAAATTTAAGAACGTGACAAAAGCAAAATCTAGCAAAATCATTATGTAAAACATTGCTATGCTCAGTTCTTCAGAATATGTTTGCAGTTAAATCAAATCACAGAATAATGGGAACTAATTATTTACATATTCTAAGCTTGCAGATCTAAGGAATTCTATTTAATAATTAAATTTTGTTTGCTGGATAACTTTTATATGGGGAAAACCTTTTTCTTTCACTCGAGAAGCCTTGAAATGATGAACTGCTGAAGAATTTATCATCCAGTGTGAAACTTTGACTCTTTTTCTTCAGCTCTCCACTGAAGCTGAATTGTGTTAATTGTGTTATGTCAGCTCTGTGGCCAGATTAATTTTTTTAAACTGCTTTTCTAGCAATGGGATTTACATTGTACCTGTGATATAAGACTGGATCTGTTTCCACACTACAATCTGCCTGCTTGTTTACAATTTCTTTGTATTGATGCTCGGGTCCACATGAAGCCTTTGTCCCTTGTTGTGGAGATGTCAGTGTGAGTTCAGTGTGTGGTGCTTTCCCAGCACTCACCCCAGCTCTGACTTTCTGCTGCTGTTTAAAGAGAAAGTGTTCTTATTTCACCAGTACATCTCTCAAAACTTCAGGTGTTACTTTTTCTCTGAGATATTTTCCACCATTATTAATCCCTCATCCAGATCTTATGTAAATATTACAGTTACTTCTTTCTGTAATTTCATTAATTATTAGCAGGTAAATTCTCATTTCATAAGAATTGTTACCATCCAAGCCTAAACCAGAGGAAATTAGCCTATAAGAATGTGAGAATACCCCTTAAGAGACAGCTAGCTGGTGGTGGAGTGTTTGCTTCTGATTTGGGTATTGCATTTATATTGTTCCCCCTGTTTTTCAGAGGAAAAAACAGGCTCAGAGTGCATTTTGAATCTGTCTGTTATGTTGGACTGAAGTGCAAGATTAGTCATCAGAATGAAACAGTCTTTAAATGACTTGCCCTCTTTTGGATGCCTTTCTGTTAGACATTTGTGGTAACTCTTAGCATCTTTTTTTACTGTTTTCTAGGTTTTGTTCATGGCAGAAAAAGTGTTCTGTTATTTAGACTGGCAATCAAACAATCTTAAGTCCATTCAGTTGTGGAAACCTGTTGTGGAAACTTCCCTGATACATTTTCAGTGACTCTGAGCAGTGCATTTGGAAGTGAGGTTTGTTAATCAGCAGGACAACCTGAACAAAAATCCTCCTTATTCAGTTGGGTGTAACCAGAATAAATAATCAGTGAATGAGTATCAGTAATGCTTTGTGCTGTTCCCAGACTTTAGGCACCATTTGCCACTGCTATGGTTTGTGTGTGAACTTTGTTGGATATCAGCTGACTTGGAGAACGAGTCAGCTGCCAAGAGTGAAAAATATAATAAATTGGTGAGACACATTTGCTTCAGCTACATTTGCATTTGACCACAGGGTTTGGGGTTCTGTTTTGGTGATGACTGGGGCAGATAGAGAAACTGGTTATTCTTGACAGATTTTAGTGGTGATTTTATCCTGGCGGTGCTCATATTGTGCCTTTTCTTTCTTAAATGGTACTCAGGTCAAGTCTTCATCTCTGTATTTTCCATCTTTCAGTGTTAATTAATTAAACATTGTTAATCTGCATCATCAGTCTTCCTTTCCTGAAGGCAGCACAGACAAGGGATGGGTTTGTCCTTCTTACAGCTAGCACGTACCAGTTGAACACGATCCTAAAATTGGAAGGGAGCTGGGAATATGATACCTTGGTCTGTCAAAAATAGCTTTTCATTCTTCCTCTGTCATTTTGTCACTAATTACTCATAACCACCCTGAGAAGATGTGTTATGTTACCAGATTGCTGCCTTTCAGTTTTGTCCTGCTCACTCACCTTCCTTTCCACAGTCTTCAGCTTTTAAGGATTCTCTGCCTTTCTAAGGGCTGATGTACAATGGACTTCTCCTTGCCTCAGGACACTTGCAGTTGTTTTTAATGAGCTCTTACAAAATTTGTTTTCTTCTCTTTATCCCCTTCTTTTCAGTCTTCTATTATTTGTCTTTATTGACCTCTTCTTGGGGAATTTGGATTCTTCCTGGAGCCCATCAGTGCTATTTCTGAAGCACCATCACAGAACAGCACAATATGCACAAATAAAACCAGAACCACTTCCACTCTAGAGATCATATTCCATTATGAAGTAGTTCCAAAATATTTGTTGTTAGACTGAGGAATCGGAGACAGTTGGAATCCAGTATTTTATATGCCATAGGTAAATTTTTTAAACAGATGTAACTTGTTTTTTCACTGCTTTTAAGCAATGTTCCCCTTCCCCCACCAGAACTGCGACAGTGTGGTTTCAAGTGGGGAGTTGATAAGGGTTATCACTTCTAGCCACTCTTTAAACCTGGCATGAAGTCAGGACCCACCTCAGACAAGAATGATAATTCAGAGCTTTGCACAAGAGACTGTGGAAGTCTCTGAAATGCCACCACTGTGGTGTATTATTCACCTCTAACTAAATAATTTAGTTTGTTTATTTTAGATTTAACTGTGCACGGTGAAAGAGTAGGGTGCATGATAGCTGGGAGGACAGGATTCCTGCCACATAGGTGTGGTTATTAGAAAAAACTGCAGGATACAGGAAGCCTTTGAATCACAAACCTCTGGAAGAGTGGAACATCCCTTGTTTAACTCGTGGCTCAGCAGGATTGCTTGGGTTTGGCTGAGCCACATAATAAAATGCCAATCCCAGGAATTTCTACCGCATGTTGTGTTAATGTTGGTTCACAACTGAGCGGGGAACGGCTGCTTTACTGGAAGTCATGGCCTTCAAAACAAATTATTGAACCTCTCTGGTCTTAACTCTTCCATGCTTGGACCTCAGTGCCTGTTGGCATCCCTGGCAGTCTCGTTCCAGCCTCCTGTTCTGTGCCAGGGTGGGGCTGGCTCAGAAAAGAAGAGTTTGGGCTCGTAGCTGTTACCCAGCCAGTGCTAAACCAATGTAATTTTTTTCCCCCTTTGTTTCCCCAGCTTTCAGATGGGTTAAATTTTGTCTGCCATCTGGGTTGAACCTCACAGCCACTTGAAAGAAGAGTGTCAGGGATTGTTTCACCATCCCGACTTGGTATCTTTCAACAGGTTAAACAATAAATACAGGGGAAACCTGTATTTATTATTTATACTGTCTTTCTTCCCCTGGGAGAGCCTTAATAAATCTGCCTTGCTAATTGTCAGCTAGTGTTAAAGATGAATATTCAGCCCAAGTTTATTGGAGAAAGTCTTGTAGCTTTTTAGGTAAAGAAATACCTCCTTTTGTTTAAAGTATACTGCTTGTCCAGTGAGGACCATGGGCTAATTACTTTTTCCCTCCTTCTGCCCTGCCTTTATTTTGAACATAACAGTGCTTCCCAAGTGCTGGGTGCTTTCCATGAGATGTTCTTTGCTCCTGGGATTCTTGAAACTGAAGAATGTAGTACAGGTCTACATGAGTTCTCTTGCTGTGTTCTCTGTTCTTCTCAATGGGTTCTTCAGTCCTGCACTGGAAAAGCCAAATAGGTGCAAATCCTGGAATTTCAGCATTAGCCCCTTGCTGTCAAAGGGCAGGTCTGTTCTGAAGTTTTTCTGCTGGGTTCACAAGGATTTTTGTGGGTTTGCTCATACAAAATATCTTTAGACTACACAAAAAACTTTTCTTACATTGACTTTTTGGCAGGTTCTCTGGGTATCATATTTGTTCTGGAGAAACATCTTTTGACTCAAAGAATTGCTTCTCATATGGGTGGATTCTCCTTCTGGGACAAACTAAACACAGCCATCAGTGTCTTCTCTACTTTTATGACTCTAATGCTTAGAGCAGCTTCATTGAGAGATCTCTTTGTTCCACTTTAGGTCAGTCAAATGTTGTCAGTTCTGTGAAATAACTTTTCTCATTGTTTTTCAGATAATTTCTGCCCAGTGACAATATATAATTCTTCATGACTGAGTCAGTGCATTTGAGATCTTTTGTATCTTTTAAGACTTAAATTTTAATTTAGAACTACAGTCATCATTTTGGCTTTGCATATATTTTCCAAGGGAAAGTCTTTTATTGACAGAAACAAACAAAAAAAAAAATACATATTTTTTTAAAAAAATACAAATTTAAAATGCAGCTTTGAAAACATCTGCACTGCGGAGTCCACCACCCAAGTTGTCTTAAGGGCCAGAAGTGAATGCTGTCCTGTTTGGATGTCACTGTGCTAGAGCAGCTACATGTTGGTGTTTACTGCTGAAGTACTTGGGAACTGGGAAGGGACCCAAAAAATCTTTGTGTCTTTGAGCTTAATCTTAGTACAGTCATAGTGCTGTAAGACCTTGAGGGAAGAATCCTGGGAATACTGCTGGTTGTGTGTGGAGCCAGCATCTTTTGACATGAAGAGTTTTTTACCAAGGTCCTTCATTCTCCTGCTGGGGCCAGGCAGAGCCAGGGTGTGGATGAAGCAGGCAGAGCTGATGTTGGGAAGTGTGGCTGATTCAGTCACATTTTCTGAAGCAACCAGTACTGGGCTGGGCTGAGGTGAACTAGGAGCCTGGAAAAATTTGGTGCTATGGTAACTGCTGAGGCTGCTGGTGAGTGGAAACAAGACTGTTCTGACTGAATCACTAGCATGTGTCTGTGTGTATTTTTGTCAGTCTGCTCTATTTGGAATTGGTCTACTGATGCAGCATTTTTGAAGCTTCAGATTAGGTGTGGGGAGCAGTTCCAAGTACTCAGTGTTCACCACTGAGAAGATGGTTTTAGGAGGTCACTTTGTGTACCTTTGCATCGTACCTATGATGGATAATGGATATAAATGTATTATTATCCCAAAATTATGTTTTTCTCTGGGTGCTGACATTCCTGTGTATCCTTTTTTTTTTTTTTAAGAACCTATTTGAATCTCTCAAAAGGGAACTCCAGTTAAGGGATACCCCACAGGGAGTCTATTCACACCATTATGGCCTGAAACCAGGGGTGATACAGGCAGGCAGGCCATAGAGATTTATGTTCAATGATATTGAATATCATAATTGATTCATTATTAAAAAAAAATAAAAGGCAGTAGTTTGCTCTTGATGATGCCCACAAATACTGTTTAACTAGTATTGCATTTGTTTCATACACAAAACTGATTTGGAACATTTGGAATCAAGGAAGTGAGAAGCTGTTCTGCTCCAAGTTCAGGAAGCATCTGGTGCTTTTGGGGGTGGTGGAGTTGAAGATTAATTTTTTCTTCCTCCCAATTTTCAAGAGAATAGAGTGATTTTTTTTCTCTGAGGCTTTATTGATCTTAAAGCTCGTTTCATCCATTACTTCTGGATGTAATTACATAAATTGATTGTAGATGGGAAAAGCAAAGTAGCATTTTCTAAAACAAAACCCAGCAGTCAAGTCTGTGACAATTTGAAATTCTGAATCTAAGCTGTGGGCTGTGGAGTTGAAACTCAGCATGGTGAGGGAGTCTGTTTTTATTTTAGGTTGTCTGCAAATTCTATCTACAGTTCTACAGCCATTATGGTCTTATTTTTAAAGTTTGTCTTGAGCTTTAAATGGGAGCAGAAGTTGAAGAGCAAAAAACTGTGAACCAGGAAGGTTTGTGGTCATGTTCCTTTTTTTTAGCAACATATTTCCATGGTGTTGTGTATCTAGATTAAAGTGTAATCTTAAATTTAGAAGTTGTGGAGTTGTAGTGCTTGCTTTTTATAAAAATACAAGTTTCCAATCTCAATTTAAAGCTATGTTGTCTGAAAATGGAAAGATACTATTGTATAAGTTTTGTCTGTGGTTATGTGCATCAGATTTGCTGCTGTACACAAAAGAGGGGGGATGAATCTGCATAGAAAATAATGAAGTTAAGCAGGATAAGCAGAAGTGGGCGATGACCCATTTTATCTGAGTTCAACAATTAGGTTATTTCCTCTAATTTCCAGTGTTTTCCTTGGTGTTGCCACCCTTGTGCAATACGGACCCAGCAAGGGATGGGGACAAAGGGCACGCATGGAAGTGCTGTAGCTGGGATTGTGGTGAAGCTGTGCCAAGGCTGTGTGCAGAGGTGTTCCCTCTGTTCAGTTCTAGGTCTGTTCATGTCAACAGCAGCAGATGTAGAGGCAGAGGAGCAGACAAGCTCCCTCGGGCAGCAAGGAGGGATGGAGTTGGCCTGTGGCCCTGTGCCAGCGGAGTTGTGCTGCCTGATACTGAAAGGAAGGAATCTGACACCACCACATGACAAAGTGGCCACAGCTCTGCAGTGTTTTACCTTCAGCTGAGCCAAATAGATCAGGACATAAGAAACATTCCCTATGCCAAGAGGCACGTCCTGCTCTTCAAATGAAATTTCTCACAGCCAACAAATCCAGGAGGTCTGGAGCTTGGTGATGCGACCTGGTGAAGTTGGTGGGGATGGTTCTGCCAGAGAAGCAGAATGGACTGCTCCTGGACAGGTCTTTGCTAAGTGTTTCAGACCTGCCAGCATCGGGTAAAACCCACCATGTAGTAAGGAAATCTCTGTAGCAGCAGAAGAGTCCAGACTCATTAGAAACACAGAAATTGAACGAGAGCTCTCTTATCTGCCAGTGCACTAAGAAGATGGCAGGGAAGAGCTGGAGTAATCCTTGCAGATATAGGGGAAAATCTTCCATATTGTGCCTGGAAGGCTGTAAAAATATCCCCAAATTCAGTTTATTACAGATGGATTTATGTCAGATGACACCGTGGGGTTGAATTTTTAGATGCCACAAATGCCTGCTTTGGAGAAGCTCTCATGAGTCAGGGAACTCCTGAGGATGTAACTTCTGACTCGTACTCTGAGAAGTGCAGAAAATGTTTACAGCAAAGGTGTGTTTAGAAGTTGCTCTGCAGCAGTGACCATAATCACTGATGTTTGGTATTCTTTGAGAAGGGCTATAAAAGGCCCTGAGACCCTGCCACTTCAGTATTCATCCAAAAACCCCACCACCCAACAACAAAAAAAGTCAGAAAGCATACCCTGTAACTTGAAGAAGCTTGTTTAAGAACAGCTAATAAAATCAGAAGGGTAAATACTTTGAGATGGTACAGAGACTGTTCAAGAAGATATTTTATTGGAGGATCAGACAGTTGACAAAATTAGACACAGGGATGAGAGGCAATAGGGATACACACCTTGAAAGTTCAAATTTTATTCAATGAGAAAAATTGAAAGAACAAACTTTTAAGCTTAAAAAAACCATTAAGGTTGTCCAAAATGAATTGAGGGACATCTGGCTCAAAGTCTGAAATCTTAAAGGAATATTTTTCTTTAAAAAGATTAAATTATTAATCTTTAAAAAGATTAAATTATTAAAAAATAATTTTTAATTTCAAAACTCAGTAACCTAAAAATATGGGACTGTGTTGAAAAAAAACCTGAGCTGTGCTACCAGAGAATATTAAGAAAATTACAGACCATGGAAATTAACAGAAACAGAAGACACAAAATGGGAATGTGCATTAAGTATTACAGTAAGGAAGAGAAGATTTTGTGAAGGCTGTCTTTGCCTTACTCTCCTGCTGGACAGGTGCAAAATTATTCTTATGAGGGAAGAATAAACAATCCAAACTTGATACAAAAAATTGCCTCTGGACTGCCACTTGAGTGCAGGGTCAAGCTGTGTCCCACTTCCATGGAAAAGTGAGTTCAGTTCTCACCTGCAGTCAAAACATAAATGGAATAATAGAAATCTGGAGGGGGAGGAATAGAAACCAAAACAGAGAACATTGTTATGCTGTTATCTGTAATCACCTTGGGCTTGTATTGTGTGATGCTGGTGGCTCTGGTTATTCCCTGCTCCTCAAAGAAGTTACAGAACTGGAAGTGTAGCAGGAGCACTGAGGTAGAGATGAGCTTCCATAAGAACAACTGAGTAGACTGTAATTAACCAGTCTTGAGAAGAGACCTTTGGGGGGTGGGATGTGAATCAGGACTTGAAAAAGCCTTAAGAAAGCTGTCAGGGAAATGCTTTTCCTCTCTCTTACAATTTTAAAAATGTAAGTACAAAGGAGAAATAGGTTGGGCAGGAATTGAATGGGAAGCTGTAGGATGTTGCCTTTTCAAAGAGCTTACAAAGGTTCAGAAAGTGAGATTGTGTAGAATAGATGCTGAACAATGAAAGAGTGTTCTTGGAAAGTACAACTGTGTGCTCTGTCCTCTGCATCTACTATCAGCTATTTTTGGAGACAGTACATCAGGCTACACAGACATCTGTCCTCATATACTATATCTGCACTTAGGTGTTTTTTTACTGTCCTGTTAATCACCTATATAATTTTTTTTTTTTTCTGATAGATGAATAAAAATACCTCACAAAAAGCAAATTGGAAATCAAATTGCTGATTGTTGTCCAGTTCTTTTCCTACCAAATAAGAGCTAAAGAGTAACTGTAATTGTACATTGGAAAGCTGTCAGTTACTAAAGGAGACTGACATTTTATCTTGGATTCAGTAAAAGACATGAGTAATGGAAAATCTTTAGTAATTTTGTCATTCTTAAATAATTTATGTGTGGGTTGGGTTTATTTTAGTGCTATATTTCTGTTGCAGGGAATCTTGTGCCATGACCATTCTTTTGCTTGACTGCTATTTTGTTTGGGTTTTTTGAAGGTACATGGGAATAGGACTTTCTGCTCAAGGAGTCAACATGAACAGGCTTCCTGGTAAGTCACTGTTAAGGTTTATTTTGATTTACAGTCTGTGTTAAATGTGCATTTGAAATAAAGATTTTTCTTTATATATATGAATTAGTGAATGTGTGTTTCTATTAATAAAATTGCATTACTATAATTGTCTTATATCTGGAAGCTTCAACCTATTGGGTGTTATCTTAAATTGAGTTACTGGTGTCAATGCAGCCATGATAATTTTATCAGCTAATAGAAATTAAGACTAAATTAATGAGTAATGGGTAAAGTGGTGAGCTTTCAGACAGGCAAACTCTTCTTTGTGTCTGAAAAGAATGTAGGAAAATCATTTTGTATTTAATCTGTATACTACACTTGACAAATTTACATGAAAGAATCTGAAAATGACAGGATAATTGGCCTGTTGTATTGTCTCCCTTCCTTCTTCCCACTGAAAGACTACAAAAATGTGGTAGAGTGGTATTTCCAGTTAATATTGTTGCTTCTTTGTTTGAAATGTGTGGTTTTGGGTTTGCCTCTAAGTTGGTTAAGTAGCTTCTTTTCAAAATAAGTAATTGGCAATCCTTCTTTGATGGTATCCTATTTATTGAGTAAGATAACAGTTTCTAGATATGTATTGACACAGTGACTGCTATGCCAGAAATTATTTCAGCTGGGGTTTGTATTTGGTAGAAAGTAAATGTTTTTCAGATGCCAGAATGAATGACAGCTGGTCACTGATGGGGGCTTCTTTGGCCTTGGGTGTTGCTTCTGGTGAAGTTGTTTCAAAAATGAAATCTTGGTATCTCAAAAGGAGAATATTTTGGGAATGTCCTAACAAAAGAAAGATCTGATATTTTAGGGAAAATGGCTTCAGTGACACCTGTGCTTTAAAGAATTTGCATCTTACTGCATACTGTATTTGTTAGTAATTGTTATGAGAACTGTACCAGTCAGTCCTGCTCTCTCTGTACTTTCCCCCCAGTCCTCCTGATCCAGGTGAGCTGTGTGCCATGTACAAGGCAAAGCATGAATCTAGTCCCATCATCTCCTTCCAGGGTTGAATGGCATGGAAAAGGGGTTGTTTGGCTATTAATGAAGCCTCTTCAGGTCAAGAAATGGCTCTGTGGCATGTGTGATGGAAAGATGGGGGGAATGTCTTGTAGACTTGGCCTTGCAGATGATTGGTTGGATTATGCTTAATTTAGGATTCTTCTGGGGTTATAACACAGGTACATACATACATGGTTCAGTACTAACCTGAGATGGTGTGCACTGAATATCTCAAGTGTGCTGTCCTGAAATTGAACAGCCGGTGTAATTTTTTTTTTTTTTTTTTTTCCTCTTTGGTGACTAAAAATTACCCAAACCAATTCTGATAAAGGGCTTTAAAGCCCAGGAGTTACATGGGCAGCATTTATGGCCAGTTTGAGTCAAAGTGCTGTATACCACTGTCACTTCTAGAGTGCATGTGATGAACATGGAATTCTTTTCTCTCAGTGAAATAAAGCATAAAGTGAACTTGAGACTTGAGATAGTGCTTATTTAGCAATGCATTGTACAAATTTGATCCCATGAACCTGTTGTTTGTTTGATCACATGCAGATTATGCTGCCAAGATTCATTCTGTGGTCATAGTTAGGTTGCTCTCCTATCATCTGTATAAGATTAACTGCATGCCTCTGTATTACAGCTCAATAATTATCTTCCTGGCTTTTGGAGGATAAATGATTTTTTTATTTTATTTTTTTTTAGTATATTGTTCAAGTAACTGAAGTGAGAAACATATTTCCAGGCTTAACTGTTATCAGGTCCTTCACAGAACAGAGTAAGTGAGAGCTCACAAAGAAGTGACAGACTTTGGAGTCTTGACTTGGATTCGCATCAAAGTGTAATTTTAACTTTTTGTGACCTGAAACCCTGCCAAGTTTGTCTCCTTAGACCCTTTCTAAGTCACTTCTGCTTTAACAGATCGATTTTCACTCAGTGTGTTGCCAGGGAAGTGTGTAACCACCACAAATGGTGGTTGGGAGCCCAGAGTCTGGTACAGGAGCCAAAGTTGGTCCCTTTCTTGTCCCCAGTTTCACTGGGGATCCTTGGTGGCACTCTGGGAGCCTTAATTCAAAGAGCAATCTTGCTGCTGGGTTCTGTCTCAAACTCCTTTTCCCCCACAAGGACAAACACTTTGGTCATATCCAGTTCCAAGTCGGGGCATTTGTGCTTTATTGCCAAATTTATTTTGGCTTCAGCCCAGCTGGGTGCTGATGGGGGTAGTGCTGAGCTTTCTCTGAAGGTTACAAGTGTGATTGGAGCCACATGAGCTGAGTTCCCTTAACTGCATTATCCCTGTCTGCATTAGGAATAGAGACTGCTTTTAATTGGAGAGTTCCCTGTCCATGTTCGACTCAGGGTTTCTTTGTGCTGCATTTTGAAATTCAGTCAGCAGGTCTGAAATAATTGTGGGATTATTATTAACTACCAGCTTTTGTGACCTTGACATATCTTGATTTTTAAAAAAAAATTTTAAAGACATTTAGAACATTTGCTAATAGGCATTCTGCTTTAAACCAGTGGCTTTTAATGAAATGTCTGCTCACTTCTTTCCCCACATTCAGGTTTTTTTCACTGTGTGCTGAAAATGCTGTGTGCTCAGCATTTTGGTATTTGAGGATGAAATTACATGTTGCAGCTGAACTGATCTAACTCTGTGTCACCAAAGGAGAGACACCTGACCCTTCCTTCCTCCCCACCCCATCTGCACAGTCACTCTTCTTCCCTGGTGCAAGCCTTTGGCTCTGGCCGCTGTCACCTTGGCCAGGCCAGCTTTTATCCAGGCAGGAACCTGCCTGCCTCAGCTGTGTTGGGACTGTGGTGGTTCCTTCAGGACTCATGGAGCAATGCTCTTACTTGTGCATCCTGCAAGTAACATATCTGCATCTCATATTTTATTACTATTATTTAGCCCTTAGTCCAGGAAGTTTTTCTGAGCCCTGCTGAAAATGTGTCGGTGCTTTGCTACAAGGTTTTACCAAACCTTCATGAAAGGGGAAGTGTCCTATCCTTAACATGGATGAGATTGCTCACTGGAAATGAGTCTCCTCTGCATGTGATGTTCTGCATTAGTTCAAGTCTTCATGCTGTTGAGAAGTAACATTTCATTTGTTTGAGCTCTTTGAGGGTAAACCCAGCAGAGAGGGAAAGAGGGATGAATCTCTAAGGTAGCAGCAAGTTCTTAATTCTGCCTAAAATGTGAAACCACACCCTTAGGCATGCCCTGCTTCAGTTTCTTAAACAGCATAGATAGGAGCTGACCAATCACTTTTAGAGACTTTAAACACCCTCTGGTTAATAAATGACTTGCCCTGCTATGCAGCATTGTACATGTTGAAGGGAGTGCCAGCTTTCACTCACCATTCTTTGGTTTTCAGAAACACTTGCAATTTTTTCAGCTTGCTTTTCAAACAAATAAGATACTGCTTGGCTTATTCACTATTTGGCTGCTCCAAACTCTGTTAAAAGAACAAGCTTTCAAACTCAAGAATGTTTTACAGACTTGAATTAGTGTGCAGCCAGATAAATCAGGAGAATTTGTTGTACAGAGACCTGCTCCCTATTGTGGTTTGGCTTCTGGGTCTGTAGTGCTGTGAGCCATGTCAGCAAAACCAGAAACATTTTGTCCAGGTGGCCTGAGTCTTTTGTTCTGCAAAAGGTCCTTGTGAGCAGCCCATTTATCGAGACATAAAGATAAAATAGAAATGACCCCTGGGTATTAAGAATTCCCCATGCTCTCCTCCTCTGTGAAAGCCATCCTTTGTCCTCCATAAACCAGCACATGGACTGGGCTTTCCATTTTACCTTTGTTTGGAGATCCTTTCCTTTGCGTTTTCTTGCTGACAGGTTTCTGATGACATTTGGAGGTAGGACTTTATTTCTCAGCTTATCTTACATGCTATCCTGTCAGGGGAGATGCAAGCAGGGGGAGCAAGACTGTTGAGGACTCAGTCCTCCTGTTCATTTCTTTGAGAGAAAAAAGTTACTTGTTTCTTCCTTAGGCGTGTTCCCAAGGATTTTTCATGCTAGTGTGCTCCCCTCTGGGAGCAGCCAGAGAAGGGAAGGTTGGTAGGTGTTGTATCACAAAATCATAGAATGTCCCAGGTTGGAAGGGATTCACAAGGATCATTGAGTCCAACTCCTGGTGCTGCACAAGTTAAATTCTCATGTTTTTCCTCATCAGAGTTGGGGATGAGTTTCTGTAGAGGCTCTGTACTTAGATTTTCCAGTCTCAATTCCACAAGGCTCTGGCCGCCTCATGTAACTCCTAAGTTAATCCTCTTACAAGTGAGAAGTTCTGCTGAAGTCTTCCATGTTTTCCTTCTAGCCAGTTTTGGTTTGGTTTTTTGTGGGTTTTTTTTCTTTTTTGTTGGTTTTTTTGTTTTGGTTGGTTGTTTTTTTTTGTTGTTTTGTTTTCCTTTTGTTTTCTGTGATTGCCATGGAATCTTTTTACTTCAAATGTAAAAGTTTTACTTAAGGAAGTTTTCAGTTTATGCTTTGGATTGTCACTTTCTGTGACTGTACTGACAAACAAAGGACCTGTGCTAAAGGCCTCAGTCCCAGTGCTAAATGTAGTAATTATAGAAGCTGAGACTTCACCAAATCATCTGATCTGAAGCGAATTCAATTATGCTTTAGTCCTGCCTGACAGGTGTGTGTCTAAACCAGTCTTTCATTATTTTCCTGGCAACTTCTTCCAACACTGTCCTTGTGCTGGAAACTTTTCCTGATGACAAAGCTGAATATCCCATGTAGTCTGAGTCTATTCTTGGATCACGTGGAGATGGAAAATAATTAATTCCTTTCCTCTTTGTAGTTCTATGCATGAAAACCTCTACTACTGCTTTATGGTCTTCTCTCCAAATCATACATCCCTGGCTCTTCACCCTTCCCTGTTTGTCAGGTTTTCTTGATTTACAACAACTCTTGTAGATGTTTTCTGAACATTTAATCACTGAATGTATCACAAGCACCAGTATCTTACT